ACATGTCATCCATTTCTGGTTTTCCTTTGGATTGGATTACAAAATGCCTGCAAGTTGCTGCAAAGTCTTAACATGCACAGTTAATTAAATTTATTTTCTGCTAACTTGGAGTTTGGAATACACCAGTAGTTATGTATAAACTGCCATATCTATACACCATTTGAAGATCATAGTTAGCAAGTCAATGTTACAGTTTTTTGTCAGCTCTAGTTATTAAAATGTAGAGAACAGTAGAGATGGTGACATAGTAGTACTATCACGTGATTTAGTGATTTAGAAGTGGAGGCGAATTCTCTAGGGTCATGACAGCTGGTAGAATTTAAGTGCAAGTAATCAATCTGGAATTTAGAGACATCGAAGTCTACAGAACGGAAGAAGGCCCTTTGGGCCATCAAGTCTATGCCAGTCAAAAAAAATCCCATTATAATTCCATTTTTCATCACTTTATTCATTGTTTCGAATGCCTTGGCATCACAAGTGTACAACGAAATACTTCTTCAATGTTCTGAGGCTGTGTCTCTACTACCCTTACGAGTAGGGAGTTCCAGACTCCACCGCACCCCCATCCTCTAGTTGAAAAGAAATTCCTCACATCCCCTTTAAACCTACTGTCCTCACCTTAAAACTATGCCCTGTATTGCAAGCTAGTCTAGTTTCATGGTTACCATTATTACCAATCGTTCTAGAAACTCATCTGTTCACTAATGTCCCTTATGGAAGGAACTCTGTCAACAATACTTGTTTTGGCCTACTTTAACTCCACATCTACATCAATGTGATTGATTCGTATCCATCTTCTGAAATGGCCCAACAAGTCATTCAGTTCAAGGGGCAATTAGGGGGATGGACAAAAATGTTGAACTTACCAGCAAAGCCTACATTCCAACAGAGTAAAGGACAACAGATATTGAACGTCTCCAACAAGACCATCAACTTAACCTCAGAGATGTATGCTTGACATCAAAGCCTATGTTTGTTATTAAAGATTAGTCTCATAATTGCCCTGATGTACTGACTAATTAGAATGGTAAGCATCGCGAAGACTTTGAGGAAAATCATTGCTAAATTGCGATATTGTCCAGGATGTGCAGAGTGGTAGGTTAGCCATAAGAAATGCAAGGTTACATGGACAGCGTGGGGGTGTGGGGTGGGGGGATATGGTGTGGGGGATTGGTGGGTATGGATAGGATGCTGTTCAGAGGGTTGGTGTGGACTTGATGGGCCAAATGGCCTGCTTCCACACTGCAGGGATTCTATCATCATTGAATAGGAAAGAGCTACAGGTTTGTATTATACCCCTTACACTTGTAGTATCACATATACAGCTCCATCAGTTACCCAGTGGTAAAGGCATCATCAAATATTAAGGTCAGCAATTTTCAATCTGTGACTGAATGCAGGCATGGCAGAAGTTAATCTCCCGATCACCATGAAGAACAACTAATTAGGTGCAGTATTGCAGATTGCTGATACACACAGAATTGTCTCTATCAAGAGACGGTGACTTAAAGCAGTAAGACAATGACCAGACACACAACTGGACCAGTCATGCCGAAACTGTGGCTACAATATCAGATTAGCGAATTAGCAATTGGAAATTCTATGGTTAGTAACTGATCTCCTGAGTACCCAAAGCATGCCCGTTAACTACAGGGTAAAATCACGAATATGATAGAATATGCTCACTTGCCTTGATGAATGCAGCTCCAACAATTTAAGAAGCTTGCCATCTTCCAAAATAAAACTGTCCATTTCACCATTAACCACAACAACTCAGAGATATCCATGGCCCTCTGGAACCTTCCTCTCCTCCCCTCCCCCAACCCCACCTCCTGTTAGGTATTCACCATCCCTCCTAACCTCCCACTCTCTGATGCTGAACGTTCTGTACTCAGCAAAGGCCTCAGCTTTATTCCACTACGTTCCCACCTTAATGAATTCCGGGCGCAACATGACGTCGAACTCTTCTTCTGCCGTCTTTGACTCCATGCCCCTTTCTTTGGGCAAGAGTCCACTCCCTGTCCCACAGATCTCTTCATCCAGTTCCAACACTTTCCCTCCACCCGGACCCCTCCCTTTTACCTGCACTCCATCTGTTCATTGAAAATTGTCGACATAGTCTTGGTCATCTCAATTTCTCTGAACCCCTCACCAAATCCAAGGTATCTCCCTCCAAACTCACTGCACTCTGTGCACTGAGATCTAACCCTGACTTTGTTATTAAGCCTGTCAATAAGGGTGGTGCTGTTGTAGTCTGGCATACTGATCTCTACATTACAGAGGCTCAGTAGCAGCTCTCGGATACCTCCTCCTATCTTTCCCTGGACCATGACTCCACCATGACACATCAGGTCATTGTATCAACTACACTAACAGATCTCATTTCATCTGGTGGCCTCCCCTCACCACTACTGCTTCCAAGCTGATAGCCCCCCAGTCCCGCACAGCTTGCTTCTACCTCTTTCCAAAATCCACAAACAGGACTGTCTGGGCAGACCCATTGTTTCAACTGCTCCTGCCCCATGGAACTCATCTCTTCCTACCTTGGCTCAGTCTTCTCTCCCATGGTCCAGTCCCTGCCCACGTACATCTGTAATTCCTCTGACACTTTACGCCGGTTTCAAAACTTCCAGTTTGCAGGTTCCAACCGCCTCCTCTTTACCATGGACGTGCAATCTCTTTACTCATCCATTCCCCACCAGGGGGTCTTAGGGCTCTCTGCTTCTTCCTGTAGCAAAGACCTGAACCATTCCCACCGACCACCACCCTCCTCTGCTTGACCAAGCTTGTCCTCACCCTCAACAATTTCTCTTTTAACTCCTCTCATTTTCTTAAGGTCAGAGGGGTGGCCATAGGTACCCAACATGGGCCCCAGTTATGCCTGTCTCTTCACGGGGTACGTGGAACATTCCTTGTTCCAGTCCTATTCCGGCCCCCACTCATACCTCTTTCTCCGATATACTGATGATGTCATTGGTGCTGCTTCCCTCTCTCATCCAGAAGTGGAAAAGTTCATCAATTTCGCTTCCAATTTCCACCCGGCCCTCACTTTCACCTGGTCTATCGGACTCCTCCCTTCCCTTCCTCAACAGCTTTGTTTCTATTTCTAGGGATAGTTTGGCCACGAATATCCACTATAAATCCACAGACTCCCACAGCTATTTGGACTATATTTTCTCACACCCTGCTTCCTGTAAAGACTCCATCGAATTCTCTCAGTTCCTCTGCCTCTGTCGCATATGTTCAGATGAGGCCAACTTCGACAGGGAGCCTTCGAAATGTCCACCTTCATCCTCAACAAAGGATTTCCCAGCACTGTGGTTGACAGGGCCCTCAACTGGGCCCAACCGATCTCCCATACTTCTGCCCTCACCCCCTCTGTTCCCCCACCAAAACCGCAATAGGGTTTCCCTTGTCCTTACCTACCATCCCACCAGGATCCACATCCGGAAGATCATCAGACACCATTTCTGCCGCTACCAATGAGATGCCATCACCAGATACACATTCCCCCTCCCCACCCTTGTCCGCCATCCACAGGTACTGTTCCCTCCGGGACACCGTGGCCCACTTCTCCTTCACCCCCAACACCTCCCCCACAGCACCTTCCCCTGCAATTGGCAAAGGTGCAACACCTGCCCTTTTACCTCCTCCCTCCCCACTATCCAAGAGCCCAAATCTACCTTCCAGGTGAAGCAACACTTCACTTGCATTTCTCAGAATCTAGTCTACTGCATTCGCTGCTCACAACATGGTCTCCTCTACATTGGGGTAACAAAGCGTAGACTGGGTGAACGTAGAACATCTACGTTCTGCTCATAAAAAAAGACCCTGAGCTTCCAGTTGCCTGCCACTTCAACACACCACCCTGTTCCCTGGCCAACATCTCTGTCTCTGGCTTGCTGTGGTGTTCAAGCGAAGCTCAATGCAAGTTGAAAGAACCTCATTTTCTGCCTGGGAACGCTGCAGCCCTCCAGACTCAATATCAAGTTCAATAATTTTAGGGCCTAACTCTCCCGTGTCCTAGTCCCCCCCACGCTACACACCTGGCCTTATTATCACATAGCTTGCCATTGCACACTACCTATTGTTAGTCACCAACAGTCCCCATTAACAACTATTCACTCTTCTAGCCAATCATTATCAACTCCTTTGTCTATCCAACTGCTCTTCTCTCTCTTTGGGCTCTATCCTATTGTCTGCTCCTTACCCCAACCCCTCCCTATTTTCTGCATATAAACCTATATTTTCCCAGTTACCATCAGTTCTGAGGAAGGGTCACCAGACCCAAAACGTTAACTGATTTTTTCTTCACAAATGCTGCCAGACCTGCTGAGCTTTTCTAGCAACTTCTGTTTTTGTTCCTGATTTACAGCATCCGTAGTTCTTTCAGTTTTTATTTTGTCCATTTAACCAACATCCCTATCCACCACCTTAAACATTCACTCTCCATGCAGCATAGAGAGTCAGAAGTACGTACCATCTAAAATATGCACTACAACAACTTGCCAAATCACCTTCCAAATCTTAACCACCCAGAGACACACTTATATAGGAAACATCACATGCAAGTACACTTCCAAATCACCACCATTCTTAAGTGAATATGTATCACCATTCCTTTACTGCCCCTAGTTCACAGCTCTGGATCTCCCTTCCAAAGGCACTGGGGGCGTACTGACATCACATGGACTACAGTAGTTCAAGGCGGCAGCTCATCATTATTATGTAGGTTATGGTTCATAAGGGATTTCATTTCCTTTTATTTTCTGTGTTCTTGTTCTGTAGATACTCTAGTGGTGTTAATCAGAAGAAACAGCCCAAGACAACGTAAAGAGAACAGAGGATTGGTAGCAGCAAATTCGCTCAAACAGTGCACTCCTCGTAAGGTAAAGTTGACATTGTCTATAGAGAGATAGCTGGTGGTGTATAATCTGAGGGTCACCCCACCACCAGGGAGCATCAGGGTTCAGAAGGTTAGACACTCATGGTGACTCAGCCAGTACAGGAATTGAACTCGTACTGTTGGTGTCACTCTGCATTGCAAACCAGCCATCTAGCCAAGTGAGTTAACCTATACCTGTGCTAACAGGGGTGGTGAATACCAAGGTGCCAGGAGTGGTTGTCTGGTAAAGTACCTCATAGTTGCAGTGATATGGATCTGACACCCTTGCATAAGGAGAAGAAATCCACAAGACCCAGAAGAAAATAAATTGCAAAAAAGTGAGTTCACCACTTTTACTCCTTCAAGATGACAGTGAACAGGTGAAACCTGATTATCAGAGATAGCAGTAGTTGCAGAAGGCAAATACAGCATTCTGAAGGCAAAACTTTGTTCAGATACGGATAAGTAGCGCTAGAGCAGGGGTGTGGACTAGGGAAAGAGAAAACAGGAAATACGCAATGCAAAGGAGACGAAGGAGCAACTGAATGCTCCAGGAGATAAGGTTAGCCATTCTCATGGGAAAAAGAAATAACTATGAAAAAATAGCATAGAGAGCAGAAAGGGAAAACAAGAGTGTGTGAAAGCGAGTTCTCACCTCTCTCAATGAACTTTGGTGCCATAGACTTTAGGCATTCATGAGGTACAGCTGCAAGGAACAGTGAATAGGTCAGAAAATAAAGTTAGACTGGGGCTACAATACCAGGAATACCTCAGAATTTATTTAGGCTGAATGTGAGAACAATTATGCAAATCTCATGAAATAGTCCAGAATTAGTGGCAGTTAGGAAATGTTAAATATTTTAAAGAATGAGGACTTCATAATTAAGCAATTACTTCAGCAGGAAGATCTATAAAAACTGCAGCCAGAGAAATTAGTTTAAAATTTCTGTGGGAGAAGTTGTTTGAGGTTTTCAATTGAGACAGATGGGAAAAATGGCCATTTTACCCAGGGAGATGGAGCGAAACAACATCTTATCTGCATAAAGCAGGGATACCCAAGTGAGTAGCCATCATTTTGAGCATTAAAATGGATGGGAAAACTGTGTAATCTCTCTCTAATGAGCAGGAAGACCTCGCAAATAGTACAGAACACCAAGTGTAGAAATGGAGGAGTGGAAGAGTTGAAGATGTTTACATAATCCAATATCAATCTTCACTTTTGAGTCTGCATGCAAGTAACAATTTCAACTTCAGTAGAAAAACAAATCCACTTCAATTAACAACTAGTCTAGAAACAAACTATTGTTGATCAATTGGTTAAGGCAGACCCAGAAAAAGATTTCACCAACTTTCTAGACTCATGGCAGAACCCCAAAAAGGAAGAATCTGCTGAGATTACCTATGATGGCATAAACAAACTGCTGAGAAGAAAGTAGCCAAGAGCAATCAACTAAATTTGACAAGTACCGGAATGGGTGACCAGTCAGCACGAGGAAGGCAGGCAGGTAGTCAGGAAAGGTCCTGACTGTATTTCACTCAAGAATATGTGAGCGTGTTGGAAAACAGTGAGAGTGACAGCTCCTCAACTGCAGCCAGACATCAGCAACTACAACAAGGGGATAGGAGAACAGAGGGTCAGCAATAATGGTAGGAGATGCAATAGTGAGGGGAACAGACAAGGTTTTCTGCTAATGCAGCTGTGACTCCAGGATGGTATGTTGCATTTCTGGGCCAGGGTCAAGGATGACCCTGAACGGCTGCAGAGCATTCTGAAGTGGGAGGGTAAACAGCCAGAGATAGTGATTCACATGGAACCAATGATATAGGCAGAATGAGGAATGAGGTTCTACAACAAGAATTTTGGGAGCGAGGTGGCAGATTGAAAAGCAGAGCCTCAAAAGTTGTAATCTTGGATTATTCCAAGACCTACATACCAGTGAGTACAGGAATCGACAGAGCAGATGAATATGCGAGTCTGAACAGTTGGTGCAGGAGGGAGGGCTTTAGATATCTGGATCATTGGATCCATTTCTGAGGGAGGTGGGACCCGTCCAAGTCCGATAAAGGTGCATGTGAAATGGAATGGAACCAACATCCTTGTTTTAGGAGATGGGGGTGGTATTGGCAAAGGGTAGGGATATGAAGTTGGGAAACACTAGGGAAGATGCACAGACAGGTACAGAAGAAAGACCATGTCTGGCAGGCAGTGTGTATCGCCAAGTTAAGACATATAGAAGCAAGGCATGACTAGATGATCATTTATTTAAACACAAGGAGTCTTACAAGTAAGGCAGATGATTTAAGGGTGTTGACTAATACATGGAAATATGATATCACTGCTATCAAGGAGACATGGATGAGGGAAGGGCAAGACCATTCTAGGGTATAGAATCTTCAGGCCAGATGGGGCAACTGGAGTGGTGGTTGTTAAGGTGGAAATGGTGTTGCAATATTATTCAAGGAGTCAATTGCTACAGTAAGGAGCAATCAAATCTTAAAAAGTTCCTCAAAAGGCGGCCATGTGGCTCAGTCTTAAAAACAAAGGGGCAATCATATTGCTCAGTGTACTATATACGCCTAGGCAGTCATGCAGAAAAACAACAGATTATGTCAGCAAATCTCAAAGAAGTATAAAAATTATACAGTAACAATAGGGGATTTCAACTTTCCCATTATTAACTAGGATAGACACAGATAGGAGGGATGGAATTCTTAAAGTATATCCAGAAGAACGTTTTAAGTTAGCATGTAGAAAATCCTATAAGATAGGTGGTGTTGCTGGATCTAGTTTTATGGAAAGAAGCCAGGCAAGTGGTAGAAGTCTCAATGTGGGAGTATTTCTATAATAGTGATCATAGCTCATTATGATTTAAGGCAGTTTTGGAAAACGACAAGGGGTGGGGGATGGGGTGGCTGATTTTAATAAGACAGGATTTGTCCAAAGTGGACTGGGAGCAGCTACTTGTAGCCGATAGGGGAGTGAAAGTCAAAACAGGGAACAGTGAGGAGATAGGGCTAACATGGCCCTGTAAAAGATGAAGAGTGGTACCAATAAGTCCCGAGAACCCTGGACGTCAAGGGATCTTCGGAATTGGATAAGGAGTAAAAAGAGAAGCTTATGGCAGATAGGGAGGGTTCAAATCAGCAGAGTATAGAAAAATGCAAGGGTTCATTAAAAAACAAATTAAAAAACAAATTAAGAGAGCGGAAACAGATCATGAAGCAACACTGGCAGGTAAAATAAAGAACAATGCAAAGATGTTTTATAAGTAAGGGGCAAGAGGATAACTGGGGACAGAGAAGGGCCCATTTGGGATAAAAAGTGGCACACAAAAAAAGACTTGGGCGAGATTTAAATAAGTACATTGCATCTGCATTCACAATAGGGGGAGAAGGTATTAGCAATTTTAGCATGCTTAAAAAGTGGATAAATATCAAGGTCCAGATGAGATATTTCCTACAGCAATTTGGTATACAATTAAAGAAACAGCAGAAACCCTAACTTTAATTTTCAAATTCTCTCAGGCCACAGGATAGGTGCCAGGAGGACTGGAAGGCAGGAAGTGCAGTAGCACAGATCGCGAAGTGCAGTGTTATGATGGAGTTAAAGGTAACATTTGTTGGGCCACTGCTGGAATTCTTTGTTAAGTTCTGGGTGTTGCTCTATAGAAGGGACATGATTGCAATGGAGGGTGCAGAGGGGATTCACCAGGATAGTGGCTGGGCTGGAACATTTCAGCTATCAAGGGAGACTAGATACGCTGGAGTTCTTTACTTTACAGCAGAGAACATGATAGGGTCAGGGACAACCTGATTGAATTATAGAGTCACACAGCACAGAAACAGATCCTTCGGTCCAACTTGTCCGTGACAACCAAATTTCCCAAATTAAAACACATCCCACTTACCTGTGTTTGGCCCATATCCCTCTAAACATTTTGTATTTGTGTACCTATCCATGTACAAAATGGTGAGCAGCAATGATAGAGTAGATAACACAAACTCTTCCCCTTAGTAGGGAGGGTGGTCAATTACAAGCAACTATATATTTAAGGTAAGGTGGCAGGGGATTTGAGAGAAAGTTTTTTCACATAGACGGTTTGGTGAGAGGGGGATGGTGGTGGGGGCGATGAGGAGAAGAGGACATCTGGAATTCACTGCTTGAAAGGGTGGAGCAGATGGGAACCCTCAAGATTTTAGTAGTATTTAAACAAATACTTGAAGTGACATCTCACGCAAGGCTACGGATCAAGTGCTAGAAAACAGGATTAGAGAAGATAGGTGCTTGATGACTGGTACAGACAAGGTGGGTCAAAGGATTGAGGTTTTTGCAAAGATTTGTACCTCAGGTTGTGAGGAAGATTGTTGACTTGCTCACCAAGCTGGCTTGTTTTCTTTCAGACTTTTTGTCACCATGCTAGGTAACATCTGTGAGGTCTCTGATGAAGCGATGTTGTTCTACTCAGCTTGGAATTTATTCTGTACAGTCTGTTATGGTGAATGGTGTTATTTCCAGTTTTGTTCTTATGGGTTTGTATATGGGGTCCAATTCTGTACGTTTGTTGATTGTGGCGGTCGTTGCATGGTATTTTGTAAACTACGTTGGTTCTGCATGTTAGGGGTATGGGGTCTTTGTGACAAACAGTCATGAGGATTAAAAACCCCATACCCATGACATGCAGAACCAACGCAGTTTACAAAATACCGTGAAACGACTGCCACAAACATTACATTGTAATGAAGGAAGGAAACTAGCCATCAGAATTCATAAGCATCAGCTAGCAGCAAAATGACATGACAAACTTTCCCAAATATCAGTACATTGGACAATGAAAGCCATCAGTTTAACTGGGACAATGTAACCATAGTAGCCCAAGCCAAATATAGACATGTATGGGAATTCCTAGAGGCAGGGATCTCAACCCGTATTGCAATCAACAAACACATAGAATTGGACCCCATACACAAACCCATAAAGAACAAAACCGGAAATGACACTACTCACCATAACAGACCGGACGGTATAAATTCCAAGCGGAGTAGAATGACATCGCTTCATCAGAGGCCTCACTGATGATGTTACCTAGCATGGTGACGAAACGTCTGAACGAAAATAAGCCAGCTCATCGAGCAAGTCAACAACCTGGGTTGAAGGATCTCTATGATTGCCTCTTAGTAACACATAGTAATAGAGGGGACAAACACAAGAGACCAGGAGTGGTCATCTACAAAAGTTCCACAACCACCACCGACTTGAGAAAATCTAGAGGGAGGTGACAAATGTTGGCTTGTCAATGACACTCACGAATAAGCAAAGCAAAAAGCTCAATCTGACTGTTAGAAAACAACTATCCAATTAGTGCCAGTACTGTGCTCTTTCCCCATATCCCTACAAGCTTTCCAAGTGCATACCAAATGATTTTTTTTGAAAATTACTATTGAATCTCCTTCCACCTTTCTTTCATACGATGCATGTTAGATCATAAAAAGATACTTTGTAAAATGATTTTACACATCTCCACTTTTCTGCAATAAACTATCAACCTCAATTTTAGAAAAAAAATCTTAATTTGAACTGTGTACCAAAACTATTTCCATAAACCACAGCTGCTATATGCATAGATAGGCTATATTATTCAGGAAAAACAATGCTCAGAAATTCAAATCTTTGGATGCTAAACAACAGAAATCAGGTCAAGTTACACAGGTGTTGTTTTATATGGGAAGCTTGCTCTGCTGTAAATAGCTTGTTGCTATTGTAAAGCATTAAAACCTTGCAAGTACATGATAGTGAAACGATAAATCCAATGGGGAAATTTTAATGTGCCAGGACAGATGGACAGCAGCAGTGTTAAAGGCTTAAAATTGGGAAAGTCAACCGAATCCATTCTGAATGGGTCAACTTCTAGTTTAAATAGGAAAGGTTAGAGAGGCAATTGAGAAAGCTGTGAGAGACAGGTTAGTCGGTCATTTGGTGTCAGCAAGGCTATGTACCCCAGATTTTAGCAGCCTTTGAGTTTAGGAGCTGTGGACCAGGTTTGCCAAGACTCTGAAAACCTGACAGTTAAAGTGAGGTAGGAACTGCACACTCCTGGTCACTGGGCACCAATCCTGTTCATTCCCCATAAAATTCAGGCCCAATATATTTTAGAGCTGAATGCGATTTTAATACGATACATTCACCTACTGAAGAAAAATATATTCTGGCTGTGAATGCTGGCTCTGACACCAGCAGAGTGACCCAGTCCTTAACTTGACCCGAATAGAGAGCACCCTGCTTATTGGGGCCTGGTGTGCTGGTGTCCTCCTCCCCGCCCGAAAGACAGCAGGGCAGATATGAGACCAGAGATGGGGGAAATACGAAAGCCTAAAGAGTTGCTGAACTAGACAAGTGAGCGTGTGTAGAAGTTACAGAAAGATTTAAATACAGAATATTTAAATTCAAGTGTCAACTGATCAAGAGCCAAAATAAATCAGCAAACTAAAGTATGATGGCTGTACATGACTTGTTGTCATTAAGGAAATAGGCAGCGTTTCAGATGAGCTCATTTATGAATAATTGGAAGGTATTGAAATTGTTGAGATAGCTGATTACAAAAGACATAGATGGGAGCTTCATCAGCAGTTAAGGTGAGGTGGGATAGTGAAGGATTTTGGAATAAGCAGGTTTTGTGAGAAGCAGGATATAGGTTGGAAGCTCATGTAAAGATATCATATGATATTGAGGATGCAGTCTTATATAGCCAGAGACGGTGATTGAGGAATGAGATGGAATGAGTAGTGAGGGCATTGTGTTTCTGTTAAGGACCAAAAGGCAATGAGTTTAATCTTCCTAATGTTCCTCCATTTGTTCAGCGGCAGAAGTCTGGAGAGAGCACAAGGGGACTGCTGGGAAGGTGAGCTTTTCATTTTAAAAGACTTACCTCGTGGAATCAGAGGCCTCCATTTTTGCAGCAGCAGCGGGAGTGGTGAGAGCGAGGACCAGGGGCTTCCGGGAAGGTAAGTTCTACATTTCGGCAGCAGAGCTGAGTGGGAGCGGTCAAATTGTGCTCTGGGAAGGTGAGTGAACTGATATATTTGGGCAGTGGCTAAACCCGAGACACTACACGAGTAGTGTCTCCTACCCGCCCTCCTCCTCTGCAAAAAAAAAAGACTCTGGTGTGTGTTGATAAGGCAAGGTTTTTCATTTTTTTTTTAAATTGTGTGCTGGTAAGTAGAGTGATTGTTAAAAATTTTTTCATTTCATTTATCTATTATTTCATATTATAGTAGGACCATACTAAGCTTAAGAGTAAAAATGGCAGGAGATCCCAGACTCGTGTTATGCTCCTCTTGCTTAATGTGGGAGCTCAGGGACGCGGCTGATGTCCCTGACTCCTACACATGCAGGAAATGTGTCCAGCTGCAGCTCTTGTTAGACCGCTTGACAGCTCTGGAGCTGCGGATGGACTCACTTTGAAGCATCCGCGATGCTGAGGAAGTCATGGATAGCACGTTTAGCAAATTGGTCACACCGCAGATTAGGATTGCTGACGGAGAAAGGGAATGGGTGACCAAAAGGCAGAGAAAAAGCAGGAAAGCAGTGCAGGTGTCCCCTGCGGTCATCTCCCTCCAAAACAGGTATACCGTTTTGGATACTGTTGGGGGAATTTGGCTCACCAGGGGAAGGCAGCAGTAGCCAGGTTCATGGCACCGTGGCTGGCTCTGCTGTACAAAAGGGCAGGAAAAAGAGTGGAAGGGCTATAGTCATAGGTAATTGGATTGTAAAGGGAGTAGATGGGCAGTTCTGTGGTCGAAAACGAGACTCCCGAATGGTATGTTGCCTCCCAGGTGCACGGGTCAGGGATGTCTCAGATCGACTGCAGGACATTCTGAAGGGGGAGGGTGAACAGCCAGCTGTCGTCGAGTATATAGACACCAATGATATAGGTAATAAATGGGATGAGGTCCTACAAGCAGAATTTAGGGAGTTAGGAGCCAAGTTACAAAGTAGGACCTCGGAGGTAGTATCTCAGGATTACTAAAAGTGCCACGTGCTAGTCAGAGCAGAAATGAAAGAATAGGCAGGATAAATGAGTGGCTTGAGAGATGGTGCAGGAGGGAGGGGTTCAGATTTTTGGGACATTGGGACCGGTTCTGGGGAAGGTGGGACTATTACAAATCAGACGGTCTACATCTGGGCAGGACTGGAACCAATGTCCTCGGGAGAGCTTTTGCTAACGCTGTTGGGGAGGGTTTAAACTAATGTGGCACGGGGATGGGAACCAAATGAAGAGGTTAATGGACAGTAAGGAGGTAGTAACTAAAGCCTGTAAGGAACTAGATAATGAAGTCAGTGTGACTAAAGGGAAGAGTAGGCAGCGAGCAGATGATGAACACAAAGGGACAGGTGGTCTGAGGTGCATTTGTTTTAATGCGAGAAGTGTAGTAGGTAAGGCAGATGAACTTAGGGCTTGGATTAGTACCTAGGAGTGTGATGTTATTGCTATTACTGAGACTTGGTTGAGGGAAGGGCAAGATTGGCAACTAAATATCCCAGGATATAGATGCTTCAGGCGGGATAGAGAGGGAGGTAAAAGGGGTGGAGGAGTTGCATTACTGGTCAAAGAGGATATCACAGCTATGCTGAAGGAGGGCACTACGGAGGACTCAAGCAGTGAGGCAATATGGGCAGAGCTCAGAAATAGGAAGGGTACGGTAACAATGTTGGGGCTGTACTACAGGCCTCCCAACAGCAAGTGAGAGATAGAGGTACAAATATGTAGACAGATTATGGAAAGATTTAGAAACAACAGGGTGGGGGTGATGGGAGGTTTTAATTTTCCCTACATTGACTGGGATTCACTTAGTGTTAGGGGGTTAGATGGAGCAGAATTTGTAAGGAGCATCCAGGAGGGTTTTATAGAGCAGTATGTAAAATAGTCCAACTCGGGAAGGGGCCATACTGGACCTGGTGTTGGGGAATGAGCCCGGCCAGGTGGTTGAAGTTTCAGTAGGGGATTACTTTGGGAATAGTGATCACAATTCCGTAAGTTTTACAATACTCACGGACAAAGACGAGAGTGGTCCTAAAGGAAGAGTGCTAAATTGGGGGAAGGCCAACTATAGCAAAATTCGGTAGGAGCTGGGTTATGTGGATTGGGAGCAGCTGTTTGAGGGTAAATCCACATTTGATATGTGGGAGGCTTTTAAAGATAGGTTGATTAGAGTGCAGGACAGACATGTCCCTGTGAAAATGAGGGATAGGAAGGGCAAGATTAGGGAACCATGGATGACAGGTGAAATTGTGAGACTAGCAAAGAGGAAAAAGGAAGCATACATAAGGTCTAGGCGACTGAAAACAGACGAAGCTTTGAAAGAATATCAGGAAAGTAGGACCAATCTGAAACGAGGAATTAAGAGGGCTAAAAGGGGTCATGAAATAGCTTTAGCAAACAGGGTTATGGAAAATCCCAAAGCCTTTTATTCGTACATAAGGAGCAAGAGGGTAACTAGAGAAAGGGTTGGCCCACTCAAGGATAAAGGAGGGAAGTTATGCGAGGAGTCAGAGAAAATGAGGGAAGATTCTTAATGAGTACTTTGCGTCGGTATTCACCGAGGAGAGGGACATGACAGATGTTGAGGTTAGGGATAGATGTTTGATTACTCTAGGTCAAGTCGGCATAAGGAGGGGGGAAGTGTTGGGTATTCTAAAAGGCATTAGGGTGGACAAATCCCTAGGTCCGGATGGGATCTATCCCAGGTTACTGAGGGAAGCAAGAGAAGAAATAGCTGGGGCCTTAACAGATATCTTTGCAGCATCCTTGAGCACAGGTGAGGTACCGGAGGACTGGAGAATTGCTAATGTTGTCCCTTTGTTTAAGAAGGGTAGCAAGGACAATCCAGGTAATTATAGACCGCTGAGCCTGACGTCAGTGGTGGGGAAGCTGCTGGAGAAGATACTGAGGGATAGGATCTATTTACATTTGGAAGAAAATGGGCTTGTTAGTGATAGACAGCATGGTTTTGTGCAGGGAAGGTCATGTCTTACCAACTTGATAGAATTCTTTGAGGAAGTGACAAAGTTGATAGATGAGGGAAGGGCTGTAGATGTCATATACATGGACTTCAGTAAGGCGTTTGATAAGGTTCCCCATGGTAGGCTGATGGAGAAAGCGATGTCACATGGGGTCCAGGGTGTACTAGCTAGATGGATAGAGAACTGGCTGGGCAACAGGAGACAGAGTGTTGTAGTGGAAGGGAGTTTCTCAAAATGGAGAACTGTGACCAGTGGTGTTCCACAGGGATCCATGTTGGGACCGCTGTTGTTTGTGATATACATAAATGATCTGGAGGAAGGTATAGATGGTCTGATTAGCAAGTTTACAGATGCCACTAAGATCGGTGGAGTAGCAGATAGTGAAGGGGACTGTCGGAGAATGCAGCAGAATATTGATAGATTGGAGAGTTGGGCAGAGAAATGGCAGATGGAGTTCAATCCAGGCAAATGCGAGGTGATGCATTTTGGAAGGTCCAATTCAAGAGCGAGCTATACGGTAAATGGAAAAGCCCTGGGGAAAATTGATGCACAGAGAGATCTGGGTGTTCAGGTCCATTCTACCCTGAAGGTGGCAACGCAGGTCGATAGAGTTGTCAAGAAGGCATACGGCATGCTTTCATTCATCGGACGGGGTATTGAGTACAAGAGTTGGCAGGTCATGTTACAGTTGTATAGGACTTTGGTTCGACCACATTTGGAATACTGCGTACAGTTCTGGTCGCCACATTACCAAAAGGATGTGGATGCTTTGGAGAGGGTGCAGAGGAGGTTCACCAGGATGTTGCCTGGTATGGAGGGCGCTAGCTATGAAGAGAGGTTGAGTAGATTAGGTTATTTATATTAGAAAGATGGAGTTTGAGGGGGGACGTGATTGAGGTCTACAAAATCATGAGAGGTATAGACAGGGTGGATAGCAAGAAGCTTTTCCACCCCCCCAGAGTTGGGGACTCAGTTACTAAGGGTCACGATTTCAAGGTGAGAGGGGAAAAGTTTAAGGGAGATATGCGTGGAAAGTTCTTTACGCAGAGGGTGGTGGGTGCCTGGAACGCGTTGCCAACAGAGGTGGTAGAGGCAGGCATGATAGTGTCATTTAAGATGTATCTAGACAGATACATGAATGGACAGGGAGCAGAGGGTTACAGATCCTTGGAAAATAGGCGACACGTTTAGATAGAGGATCTGGATCGGGGCAGGCTTGGAGGGCCGAAGGGCCTGTTCCTGTGCTGTAATTTTCTTTGTTCTTTGTCTAATTGGAGGAAATTACGATGCACCCAGTTCTTGAAATCTACTGTCAAACGTGGCTCATGACTCAAGATAGAGGTGGTAGGAAGTAGAACTGGGAGCAAATGCCTATGTGCAAAGTGACTGGATGATGTTTGAGAGAGAGGCAGGCAGTACGTAGATGAGGAATAGGAGCAGCAGGGCCACAGAAGACCTTTGGAGAACACAAGAGGCAATATGGAAGAGTAGCAAGAGAAGGCATTGCAGATTCTCTCCCGCCTATGACTCAACAGTTAAGAATGGCATCAGATTCACTCAGTGGGACACCAGAGTAGCAGTTTTAGAGAGGGGTGTAATCAAAAATATCAAAGATTTCACACAAGTCAAAGGAGGAAGGAAGCACACCTTGACAGAGGGAGCCATTTGCAATATCAGCTCGTGTCAGTAAAGAAAGTTGGGTATTTAACAACTTAGTGGCAATAGGTCCAGGACAGCATGAAAGTAAGGAAACGGGAAAGTAGCATGGAATTGAAACAGCCAAAAGCTTGGTTAAAGTTTTGAATTAGAGACTCTGTATAGTTCCAATATTTGTAGCTAATCTGCTATAACCTATTTTATATCAAAGCACATTACCAA